TGAAATTTCAACTCGAGCGAGAAAATACAAATTTACGCTAATTGGAAAGTTTAAATTAGGTTGCCCAAAGATGGAAATTATCAGAATGGTTTTTGAAGACTTCAAACTAGTTGGGGTCTGCCAGGTGGGTCATTTCGACGGAAGACATATTATAATACAGCTGAGTATAGAAGAAGATTACACAAGTATTTCCTCAAAAAAATTCTTAACAATGGAGGGCAACCATATGAAATTGCTCAAATGGACCCCTAATTTTGATCCTAGTCAAGAACCCCCAATTGCACATATATGGTTCTCATTACCTGAACGCAAGCTTCATTTCTTTGACCTACCTATCTTATATGCAATTGAGACTATCCTTGAAAAACCTTTACAGGTAGACTTACCCACAGTTCACTTCTCAAGGTCCTCTAATGCAAGAATTTTGATTGAAAGAGATATTACATTACCAGATGTAGAAGAAGTCTGGCTCGGTTCTGCTTACAATGGTTATTGGCAAAAAATTATTATGGAACAAAAACCTTACTACTGTAAGCACTGCAAGATGTTTGGACATCCACAGGAGAAATGTTTCAGATTGCACCCATAGTTGAGAACCAATAGTCAAAAGCAAGAACATGTTGGTAGTGCACCCCATGTGCCTGAATGCGCTCCCAACAAACCTGATGACAGCCAACCTGAGGAGGGAATCACCACAAGACAGGATTTGGTGTCTACCCCTGGGAACCCTTCTCCCGACTATACTACAACAGATAATGTTCAAACCAAAAATCAGGATAGCCCCGTAGCTCTGATTCAGGAAGCATCAGGCACAAAGGTGACAATTCACAATTCACATACACTGGAACCTATCGCTGTAGCAACGACTGTCTTTCCTTCTACTGTGATTCTATTATCTAATCAAACTGAGGATCACATAATTCAGCCTTCCAATGAAGAATGACAGGTTTACACTTCTCGACGGAAGAAAAAGGTTGGGGGCACACTCCAACTTGAAAACTTAATGGATGATACTTTGGTTACTCCGGGCAATGACACGACACTTCAAAGTTTGTTATCTGACTCTGCTCTTAAAACTGGAGGAAGAGGCAGGACTAAACTGGCTCGTCCCTAGCTACTTGTTTTTTGCAAATTTTAATTTTTTGAGTCTATCTGTATCTTTTAGTTAGGATATTACTGTATTTGGTATCGTATGGATAAGGAGCCTCTATTGGGCCCTCTCATACAACCTTCATGTATCTTCTCTATTTCAATAAAATCAGCCCTTGGGCTTTTCAATAAAAAATAAATATGAACAACAAAAATTACATTGCCAATGGCTAATATACAATGTAGCATAAATTGTGGACTATCAAAAAGACCTGAAATGACCACTCTTAAATAAAAAAATTTGCCATTCAAAGGCAGAATGGTAATTACACATGAAAAAAAAGGAGCTAGACTAGAGAAGTTGACAACAAAAAATCAGGCATTGACCGCTGAAGTAGAATCCCACAAAAAGGACACAATGGTTTTACACGTTCTCCAACAGCAGAAAATGTTCTTACATTTCTGAAATATAGAGGAGAATTTTGTAGCATAAAAAATGAACGAGGAAGTAGGTTAGCAGCCCATCTCCGGCAGCACATGCAGTGCCATAGTGGCTCTGTCACTGAGCAAAGCCTCATGGAAACTGCACATCTTGTAAGCTGATGCCTTTCATTACAACCCTTTTGATTCACAATACCTTCACAGAAAGCTACTTCGAAAGACTCAAAAGGTACTGGAGCAGAGCAAAAACTACAGCTCTCTTCCTCATCAGACTGAGAAATGCCAATATTGTTCCTGAAGTTACAATAATAAAAGCAATAAAGTTCCTAGTTACATAATATTATAATGCAAACATACATTTGAAGATAATTGCTCAGATTTCAATACGACAGAAATATATTTACTTAGAAATGATGATAACAATGCAAATGAGATTTTCATTCCTTCAAGCAATTTTAAAACTTTTGATTTTCCTTACCTTATCTAATAGAATAATATGCCCTGTACGTACCAAACCAAAATGACCTCCATTAAAATAAGTGATTATTTAATTGCCAACTCAGAATGAAAAATATTTGGAATACTTCATTGTGATTTTTCCACTCACAAAGCATGTTAATTGCAATACTGGCTTCATTTGTTAACACTAAGTTGCTATGGCGTGTATTTTTTTAAAATTTATTTTTATATTTATGTTCATTTTTGCCCACCTGAGAAACTTGTTGATGTAAATGGCATTTAAACCCATGACTAGACTAATTTAAAAAATCTATACCAACTAGCCAACATTGCTGTATTTGATGAAATTAACCATTACTACTCATAAAAATGACAAGTTGCTTAGCGAGCGTGCTAAACATGTCAATGAAGCTATGAAGAGTGTTCGTTAAATAGTGGTCCAATAATACACTATGCAAATTTAGTCATTTCTCATCTTCTTTAAGTTGAAAACAATATTTTCAGGTCGTTTCATTGGAGTCATAAAAATTTTTATCATATTTTGAGCTTTCCTAATTTTACTTTAAAGTAAAGTGCATTATTATTATGTTGCATCAAAGGAGTTAAGAACAATAAGTCTTCAAAAATAAAGTCAAAAGTGAAATTAGCATGGATGGCAGTAGCCATCAAATTGGTGAACTTATACACTTGTGCACTGGTATTCATTTGTCTTCTTATTATATTAATTAGCTTTTACCTAAACTCCAACAATGCTCATGTAATATAGAGATTTCAACTGCAAGCTTTAAAGTCGTGGTTAAATAGATTTTTGAAATCAAGCAATTTGTGAAATATTGTCAAACAAGGACTAAAGTTAAAGGCCATCTGATTGCCTGTCTTACGTATTATTTATATGTGAATGATGGATGCAAAAAATAAAAACATATAAAGAGTCAAAAAGTACCTGCTCCTGCATTCAGCAACCTCAGATCCAAGAAGCCTAAGCTGACTATGAATCTTTTGATCGTTAATGGCAGTCCATCGTTCCATCTGTGCTAGTCCAACAGGAGACCAATATGCACTCTCTCCAACAGTTGATTGAGAATTAGCTGTATTTTTTAGAACAACTTGGAAAGAAAAAGCAACAAGACGTTCTTGTAGCTCACCTTCACTTTTAATGAGCAAATCATTCCATGAATCTGAGTTACTTCCCTTATTACTTGATCTATTGTGTTTAAATTGATAATCTTTAACTGAATCAATCCCCATTTCACTAAGCATCACCCTTCTGCAGATAATGTTTAGCAGTTGAATTTTACGAGAACTAACCATCAAAATCTTATCCTGGTCACGAAACAATATAGCCTCAAGTGAATCACTCACTGGACCTGAAAACCAGCTGGATATCCATTTAGTTATCATATTCTCAACCAAGACAGGAAAATCTTTCCTAAGGTTTCGTAACAAGGTTAATGTGTCCCAAATCACTATTGGCTTATTCACATTTTCTAAGGATTTCAAAAACCCCAAGGTATTGATTTCCCAGCAGGTAAACTCCGGCACAGACAAACAGCTTATGGCTTCAAATCTGCAACCATCAAGTCTACTGTCATTTGGAACCTCAAAAGATTGGCCACCACTCCAAAAAAACTCAACAACGGCTCTCTGGGACCTACAGATGTCAATTCAATAAATTATGCCCAAGAAAATTGAGAAATGTTCAACATATTATAATTGAAAATGTTTTCAAATGTTCATTTTAGGCAATTGAATATTATAGTATGCAATCACCTCTTCTCATACATTTGGTGCTGAAGATTGGCATCAAAGCTGTGGACCTGTAATAAAGCAAATTCACTTTAAAAGCAAATTTGTATGTTGACGAGCGAGAGAGAGAGAGAGAGAGAGAGAGAGAGAGAGAGAGAGAGAGAGAGAGAGAGAGAGAGAGAGAGAGAGAGAGAGAGAGAGAGAGAGAGAGAGAGAGAGAGAGAGAGAGAGAGAGAGAGAGAGAGAGAGAGAGAGAGAGAGAGAGAGAGAGAGAGAGAGAGAGAGAGAGAGAGAGAGAGAGAGAGATGAAATATGGCATAATTGTTAATTTAGAAATCCATAGAAACTCGAATAGTTAAGAATTAAGATAAGTGGGGTACAGAATTTAGATTATTTTTATAGCAACAAAAGTTAAAACTATGCTGATAAGTATAATTCAATTATATCCTAGAGAACATGAATGCAACATGCCACTTAGGGAGTGAACAATCTTTACGTATACCTATAAAAGATACAAAAATATTTAACGAATCTATGCTAATGTTAAATATAAAATGATAATAATTGAATGAGATTTACACATGTAATAACCTATGGCGTCAAGTTGCATTCATTTTCTCTAGCCAATATACAATGTTTTAGGGGCAAGGGTGTTGTTCTTCATACTAAAGCTTACCATAGCAACCATCTGCTCTCCAGGGGAAAGTGCAAGCCCAAAGCATAGATCAGAAACACTGGAAAGCTGCATATTAATTTGAAAAGGGTGTCAAATAAAACAAATTTAAAAAGCCAAAATATGCCTTTGAAATGTAAAATATATAATATACATATATACTATCGAGAGGAGAGAGGGAGGGTGCGCACAGAGAGAGAGAGAGAGAGAGTGAGAGACTGCACCACTAAAAAGACAATATAACAAATTTCCTCCTTCAATTTGTTTCCACCATTTTATACAATCTTCAAACTCAAATCAATCCATTGATTTGCATATGAAGAGTAAACCATTTTTTCAAATACTTTTATTTATCAAGTCAACCAAAAGAAAAAAAAACTAAAATGTCACAGAGAGTATAGTCATGCCTTTCAAAAAAAAAAAGGATCATCAAACACCTTTAAATTATCCCCAACCACTAATGTATCAACAATCCATCCCAGAGACATTTCTTATGAGAAATAGAAATGATTTCAAAATTAGGTATGAAAAATTATTACTTATCGTTCATGCATTGAAAAAAAGTAGAGAAAAGTTCTTAATGCATTGGACCAATTTTATTGATGGTCGAAGAGCTGTTTGGATTTTACAATGGATAAATGTCACAGACTACATCCAAACTTGAAAGCTAAAGGTCAAGCAAATAAAGAGGGGTCTAACCCAATTGCTATTGACACATTTCAATCTGTGGAGAAAGTTCCCATAAGACAGGATTTGTTGTCTGATTTTACTGTGGATCCCCCCTTGCCAAAACCGCAGTTCCTGATGAAGAACATCATACTACAGGTACAGATCCAAATGTGTTTATACCACTCACTGTTCTTGAAGAAGACCCACCTACATGTCAGGACACACGAGAGTGCTCCCGCTCCCCTGATCTGATAAAAGATCAGCTGGTACAACAATTAGTTTCTTCTAATGTTCAACAACCTACACATGTCTGACATATTTTAGACCAATCCACTGACTGGACGAGCCAATCTTCGAATGAGGAATGGCAAGTCTATTCCGGGAGGAAGAAGAAGAATGGAGGCAGACTCGAGCTCGGGAATTTATTGGATGATACATTGGTTACTACTGGCAATGACACTCATCTCACCAATTTATTAGCTGGCTCCTTCCCTAAAACTAGAGGCAAAGGCAAGGCAAAATTGGGTCGCTCTTTAATTACCTGATAATCCAGATTTTAACAGTTTTTTGTTTTTTTTTTTTCTTTAGGCCTCACATGTATTTTTTTGTATTTTCTCTTTTTGGAACCATTTGCATATAGTGGTTATCGTGTGGGCAGGGTGTCATGTTTGGGCCCTCCCACACAATTTATATGTATCCAACTTTCTTTTTAATATATTAGCTATTGAGCTTTCTCAAAAAAAATAATAATAATATAAAAAATAATATATATATATATATACCCACCCCATGTAACAGACAGGTGAAATAAGTGGAAGTAGCGAATTGAGGAGAAATGTAAGATGGGATGGATGAGAGAGAGAACCAAGTGTACATGGTGAAGCTCGCACAACAAGCAGAGAGATGATGAAATGGAGGAAGCGATGGACAAAGTAGCGCGACTAGATGTGGAGCTGACAGCAAAGGAGCGGAATCTACTCTCAATTTGCTCTCAGTTGGGTACAAGAATGTGATTGGAGCTAAGAGATCCTCGTGGAGGATTCTACATTAAAAGGGTAGAGGATGAAGTGGCAAAGGTCTGCAATGAGATTTTGTCCATCATAGCCATTTTATGGGTTTTAATTCTAAGGAGCGTTTTGTAGCGGTGTTGATGAAAGAATATAAATAAATGTGTTTATGACAACTTTTAATGGATGTTAATATGTGTGCTTTGTTAATTTCCTAAAAAATATGTAACATAAGACTATTAAGATGATCCTGAAGTCGAGCATATGGAATTTAATATATACATCTATATATATATATATATACATCTATATATAT